TGTGGGAATTCCCGGCTGGGAAAAACCCAGGGAAATGGGGAATTCCCCCATGGGAAAAGTTCTGGGATTTGGGGAAATTCCTGGTGGGAAAAATCCAAGTAATTGGGAAATTTCCCATGGGAAAAGTTCAGGAATTGGGGAAATTCCCATTGGAAAAGTCATGGAATCAAACTGGGAAATTCCCATGGGAAAATTTCTGGAATATGGGAAATTCCCCATGGGAAAATTCCTGGGATCTGGGAAATTCCCCATTGGGAAAAATCCATGAAATTGGGGAAATTCCCATGGGAAAAGTTCTGGAATCGAACTGGGAAGTTCCCATTGGAAAAGTCATGGAATTGGGGAAATTTCCACTGGAAAAGTTCTGGAATCGGGGAAATTCCCCAGTGGGAAAAAACCCAAGAAATTGGGAAATTCCCAGTGGGAAAAGTTCTAGAATTTTGGGAAATTTCCATGGGAAAAATTCTGGGATCTGGGAAATTCCCAGTGGGAAAAGTCAGGGAATCTGGGAGATATTCCAGTTGGAAAAGCCCCAGAATCCAGGAAAAATCCTGGTTGGAAAAATCTCAGAATCCAGGAAAAATCCTGGCTTGAAAAGCCACGAAATCCGGGAAAAAATTCCCATTGGAAAAGTCCCGGAATCTGGGATAAATCCCAGCTGGAAAAGCCCAGGAATCTGGGAAATTCCTGGTTGGAAAAATCCCGGAATCTGGAAAATTCCTGGTTGGAAAAATCCCTGAATCCGGGAAATTCCTGGTTGGAAAAACCCCGGAATCCGGGAAATTCCCGGCTGGAAAAGCTCCGGAATCCTCCGGGAACGGCGACTCCCAAGGCCTGAGCGCCTTTTTCCGGGAATTGCTCCCAAAATCCCGGAAGGGGAATTTGTCCTTCCCGCTCCTCCTGTGGGAATTCCGGGGTTTTTCCTGGGGCGGTTCCCGGGGAAAGAGTTGCCGGAATTCCCGGAATTCCCACCTGGCTGAGGGTGATGTGGCCGCGCGAGGCTCGGGAATACGGGCTCTGGGATCCGCCGGAGAACAGCGCGTCCCGCAGGAAATTCCTGCCGGGAACAGCCGCGCTGGGAATCCCAGAGCACAAATCCCTGATCCCAAATCCCTGATCCCTGATCCCTGAGCCCTGAGCCCAAATCCCTGATCCCAAATCCTTGATCCCAAATCCCAGATCCCTGAGCCCAAATCCCTGATCCCAAATCCCAAATCCCTGATCCCTGATCCCTGATCCCAAATCCTTGATCCCAAATCCCTGATCCCTGATCCCAAATCCCAGATCCCAAACCCCAGATCCCAGATCCCAAATCCCAAATCCCTGATCCCAGCCCCAAAATCCCAAAGCCCAGATCCCAATCCCAAACCCCAAATCCCAGATCCCAGAGCCCAGATCCCCATCCCAGATCCCAAACCCCAAATCACAAATCCCAAACCTCAGATCCCAAATCCCGAATCCCAAACCCCAGATCCCAAATCCCAAATTTCAGATCCCAATTCCCAAATCCCAATTCCCATAACTCAGATCCCAATTCCTGAATCCCAATCCCAGATCCCAAATCCCAACCCTCAAATATCGAATCCCAAATTTCTGATCCCAAACCCCAAATCCAAATCCCAAAACCCCAAATCCCAGATCCCAAATCCCAAACCCCAAATCCCAAAATCCCAAATCCCAAAACCTCAAATCCCAAATCCAAATCCCAAACCCCGAAATCCCAAATCCCAAATCCCAAATTCCCAATTCCAAACCCCAAACCCAAATCCCAAATCCCAAAATCCCAAACCCCAAATTCCCAATCCCCCATCCCCAGATCCCAAATCCCAATTCCAGGGAAACTGAGGCAGAAATCCTGGTTGTGGGTGCTGCCTGAGGAATTCTGGGAATCGCGACTCTCGGGATCGATCCAAACAAATCCCGGGAATGAGAAATTCCCAAAAAATCGACCGGGAGGCCCCGGGTTTGCTCTGGGATTTATGATCCACATTTTTGGGATTTATTATCCCATTTTATAGGGAATTATTATCCCATTTATTGGAATTAATTATCTCATTTTATTGGAATTAATTATCCCATTTTTTTGGGATTTATTATCCCATTTATTGGGAATTATTATCACAGTTTTTGGGAATTATTATCCCATTTTTTTGGAATTAATTATCCCATTTATTGGAATTAATCATCCCATTTTATTGGAATTAATTATCCCATTTTTTTGGGATTTATTATCCCATTTTTTTGGGATTTATTATCCCATTTATTGGAATTAATTATCCCATTTTTTTGGGATTTATTATCCCATTTATTGGGAATTATTATCACAGTATTTGGGAATTATTATCCCATTATTGGGAATTATTACCCCATTTTAGGAATTAATTATCCCTTTTTTTTTTTTTTTAATTAATTATCCCATTTCTGGGATTTATTTTCCCATTTTATTGGGAATTATTATCCCATTTATTGGGAATTAATGATCCCATTTGATTGGGAATTATTATCCCATTTTAGGAATTAATTATCCCTTTTTTTTTTTTTTTTAATTAATTATCCCATTTTTGGGATTCATTTTCCCATTTTATTGGGAATTAATGATCCCATTTATTGGGAATTATTATCCCATTTATAGGGAATTAATGATCCCATTTAATTGGGGATTAATTATCCCATTTATTGGGATTTATAATCCCATTTTTGGAATTAATTATCCCATTTATTGGGAATTAATGATCCCATTTTTGGAATTAATTATCCCATTTGTCGGGAATTAATGATCCCATTTTATTGGGGATTAATTATCCCATTTCTGGGGGGATTTATCCCATTTTTTAGGGATTTATTTTCCCAATTTTTTTCTGGAATTTATTATCCCAGTTATTGGGATTTATTATCCCATTTATTGGGATTAATTATCCCATTTATTGGGATTTATTATCCCAATTTTGGGAATTAATTATCCCATTTTTTGGGATTTATTTTCCCGGATTTTTGGGATTTATTATCCCATTTATTGGAATTAATTAACCCATTTATTGGGATTTATTTCCTAATTTATGGGAATTAATTATCCCACTTTTTGGAATTTATTATCCCTATTTTTTGGGAATTAATTATCCCATTTTTTGGGATTAATGATCCCTTTTTTTGGAATTAATTAACCCATTTATTGGGGAATTTATTATTCCAATTTTTTGGTGAATTTATTATCACATTTATCCCATTTTTTTGGTATTTATTATCCCATTTTTTGGGATTAACGATCGCATTTATTGGAATTAATTATCCCATTTTTTTGGGATTTATTTTCCCGGTTTTTTGGGGATTTATTATCCCATTTTATCGGGAATTCATTATCCCATTTATTTCTGTGGGATT